CAACGCAAATAATGCCTCTCTTGTTCCCATGCCTCCTCTGAAGCCAAACTGAGTTTCATCTATCTGTTCCTCACATTTCTTATAAATTCGGTTTTGAACAATTTTCAAAAGAATCTTTAAAGGGTGGCACATTAGGCTTATTAATCTATAGTCATTACATGATTTGGGATTGTTGTTTTTTGGTAGAGGTAAAAATATCGATTTAAGCCATTCTTCCGGGATGTTGCCCTCTACATATATGTGGTTGAGAATTCGGGTGAGTCTCTTTATATTACCGTCATCTAAGGCTTTTAACAGTTCAACTGGAATTTGATCAGGACCCGGTGCTTTTCCTTGTTTTGCATTCTGTAGGGCATTCTTTACTTCTGAGGGTAAAATTTTTAGGTATTGTTTTTCTTCACCTATATCTTGTTCATTTTCTCTCCCGTCATGGAAAAGATGGATTATATATTGTTCCCATACTTCCTTTATTTTGCTATCTTCAGTAAGTATTTCTCCATTATTATCTCTTGTTATGAGTGTTCTTCTTTGTCTGGTGTTGCCTGTAAGTTCTTTAATTTTTTTATGTAAGTTTGAGGTGTCATGTTTGTTGCTGAGTTCTTCCAATTCCTGGCATTCTTTGTTCATCCATTCCTCCTTAGCCTTTCTGATTTCATATTTGATTTTATTCTTGATGGTTTTATATTTATTTTCATCTTTATTTTTGTATTTTCTTTTTTCAGTTATTAGCTCAACTATTTCCGGTGTCATCCAGTCTTTTTTAGTTATTTTCCCTTCTTCGCCTAGGACCTCCTTTCCCGCTTTTAGTATGGCTTTTTTCATATCTGCCCATTCAACGCTTCCTTCAGTTAATTTATTTATCTCTGCGTTTAGTTGCTGTTGGCAGTTGTCGTCTTTTAGGTTTTTGATGTTAATTTTGGTGGTTTTAACTTTTTTCTCCGGTTTCCTGAGTTTAATGTTGACGTTTGCTAGTAATAGATTATGATCCGTATCTGCATCTGCGCTTGGATAGGTTTTTGCACTTTGTACTCCATTACGAAACCTTTTGTTAATCGTTATAAAATCTATTTGGTTTCTGATTATATTGTTGGTGTTATCTTTTGGAGAAGTCCACGTGTATAATCTTCGTAGGGGTAGGTCGTAGTATGTATTTGTTATGACTAATTCTTTCTCCTGGCAGTACTGGACTAGTCTGTCTCCTCTTTCGTTTTTTTTACCTAACCCAAAATTTCCTACTATATTTCCAGTTTTTCCTCGACCGACTTTAGCATTAAAGTCGCCCATAATTATTAAATCGTTCATGTTAAAACACCGAAATATTTTATCAATTCTTTTACATCGTTGGAATTAGTAATATAAACATTTCTGGTTTGTATATAATAATTTTTAATTGTATTTCGTTTAATCGTGATGCCGCTTTAGGATATTTTGCGCGTCAAATAAACAGAAGTATTTCCGTTTATGCTTTCGTTTATACCGAGTTGGGCGAATAATGTCACTTTGCAATGAATCACCGAAGTGGCTACTTCATTGTTTCAAGTCCGGATTTTTTTTTAAATTCGTAGTGGTTTTTCGTTTTTGTCATGGAAATATAGTGTATTGTAGCAGTTAGATGTGGAGTTTAAGAAAAAGTTGTATTTGAGATCTTAACGAGGATAAACCACGGGTGTGAAATCTTCAAAAAGTCGGCAAATTTTTAATCGTGGAGAGGTGAATTTAATCAAATGCAAATGTGGCAGTTTTGTTGATTTGATCACCGATGTGTTGTATTGTGTCCTATTTGAGAGATTTAAAAAAAAGCGTCAAAACAATTTAAGAGGTCCACATGGTTTTAAGCAAGAACTTGAGAAGCTGAGCTTAGAAGATTAGTTTCTTGTCATCCAAGATAATCCGAAGCCCTAATCCAGTGCCCAACTTCCAAATAATGGTCTATTTCCACAGTTATGTTTGTTTGCATCCAGTTTTGAATTCAGTTCCAACCCCAAAAACTTTTAAAGGAAATATATCAGCCAGTGATATCAGATACTTTTTTTGTTAAAATTTTTGAAAGTAAACATAGTAATTTTTCATTAACAATTACTTTCGTGACAAGTTCAAAAATTGTAATAGATAAAATTGAAAATTTTATGGATTAGCAAATTGTCATATTATTCTTCATTTAAACGTAAATAATTTTTAAAAATTAATTAACATATCAAAAAGTTATGTTTTAATATTTAATTTCGACATATGACAATTAGTATTATCTCTTTAGGACATTTGGCAAAAAAACATAAATTTTAATTAGCTTCATTTCAAAAGTGTAAACCCTATTTAGACTAATATTTTATATTTCTAATAATTATTTAAATAGTTAAATTAGTTGTTGGAGCCGCTACAAAATGTCGCCCAATCATAATTTAAATTCCTATAGTTTCCTCAACGTCTAGAGTTTGTTGTATACCGAGAGCGCCATTGTAAGTTGTTTTGTATTTTGTTAATTTTATTTGCATTAACTGTTTATCGTGAAGTAATAATAAATATGTGATGTTTCTTCGTAAACCAAGTGAAGTATTATTTCCTCTAAAAAGATTTTAACCCTTTTTATATATCTTTTTTTTTTAGAAAGAAAAGCCTTTTTTTCATCCAGCAGGAAGATTCTTGTACACAGCGTCTAATTTAAATAGTTTCGGAACCTGCTTGTATTGTGTTGTCCAGGAAATCCATATTCGCTCCGTGCGTGACCATGGTAGGGGTATATTGAAACGATGCCAGCGTGCGTAGCGGCGAAATATGACAAAATTGGAATATTGGACAAAATATTTTTACGCATAAATTTTATCAAAAATGTGTGCAAATACATGTTGCGTATTTAATTGTGCTAATAACAGCAAAAATAGTGAGTGTAGTTTTTATAGGTTCCCAAAGATTACATATAAATTAGAGAAAAGAAAAAGATGAATTCGTGCTATTAATATGAAAAAGTAAATATCACATAATTTCATTTTTATACAATTGAAATAGGAAAAATTTAAATAATTTACCTTGAATGATATTTCATAAGGCTTCAAGCTAACTGCGGATGACTTTAGCTTTTATATCATAACTTTTACTATTATTGTTTTTAATTATATGCTCTTTTGCGCGAAAAACTTGATTTGTCAGTACTAGATTTTTCCCTTTCTTCTCCGTTTGAAGTTGAAAAGATATATTATGATGAATTTTAAGAAACCCAGTTTTTAATACTACATTTATTTTGTACATAAACTGAAAAAATATAGTTAGAAAACTAATTTATTAATAATTCTCAATTTCGCATGTATTTAACAATGTCAAACATATGTCATATGTTTAACCTGAAAATTGGGACTCCAAACTTGTCAGATGAAGGCGGTAGGTGTCGCGTCAGTCACGCACGGAGCGAATAAGTACTTTTTGATTTCTATTTTTGTAGTTACCCCTTTCCAGTCCCTGTTTTATTTACTTACTTACAATACAGCTCTCCAACCAAACCAAGAGTAGTCATTCGCAAACGTTCCGATTTGTTTGCTTACCCTATCTCCAGCCTAGTAATTTCTGTCCCCACTTTCAATTCTCTATAAGTGATCCAATGTGGTAGGCAAATATAACCACTACAATGCTTTTACTTCTAAAAAGTCCGTATGCTCAACAAAAGAACCTGTACTACCATATTAACATGACAGATCTCTATTTTGTTCTTTTCATTTGTACATTCCACAATTATGTTTATAATAGCATTATCAATTACACGGTTCCACAAATTAGACGGTGTTTTCCTACACAGTCTTTTGCAGCAGACTTTTAACCAGGAATATGTATTACAATGTTATAACTTCTAGTTTTGTCAGTAGATGGTGAATTTTTTTACCATTTGTATCATTTTTACCATTTACCATTTGTATTAATTTTTCCCAAAACATATCTTAATGAATCTTAAAAACTTTAACTATCTTCATCATCACTACTTACTACTGAAAGTAGAGGACTCTGATCGCTGATATCTCGAATTGTCACTATTGAAGGCCCTGGATCATCAATCTTCGTATTCTCTGGAATATTACTTTCACACACAATATCATATTCTGGATCACTGTCATGATCACTGTCTATAGTTGAGAGACTAATACCACCATCATCATCGTTTAAAAAAATTGTCTGGCCCTGTTCACTTTTATATCGTTTTCCATCAATAACAATCGAATTCATGGTCTAAAATATATGCGTATCTGGTATCGTCGGGTCAGAATGGACCCTACACAGTCGAACCACCTACTTAGAGCACTATTTATCGACTGGTAATTAACAGCTTGCCGTATGCGTGTGATTTAGGAGAACTCCTAAAAGATGCCGTTGTTTGGCGGTTGTGCGAACAAAAAAAGAAATTTATCCGGTTGGGTCCAAAATGATCCGACGATACAATTTAAGGGTTCAATATATTTCCATTGACAGTACGCATAGTTTCTAAAAAAAAAAGCGTATTTATTGCATATTTTCTAAAAGAAATGCATATTTACACGCATATTTTTCAGTTTTAAATCTAGTAATGCTATTATACTAAAATAATTTCTATTATTATTTTAGAAAAAACCAAGGCAGTTTGCTTTACATCTACAACTTAAAAATTTCATTAATAAGCCTGGTTTGAGACGAAAAATGTAGTAAACCCTTATAGAGGAACATCCACAGAGACTGTCATAAATATTGCACAAATTCATAAAAATCTTTTTACTTTAATATAAAACATAACACCATTCGAAAATAACGTTGACTTGAATTTAACAATACGGTTTTTCCTTTCGATTGTTGATACAGGGGCGACGAATTTTTAAAATTAGGTTTTGATAACTGTTCTTTGAGTACAAATAATGAATCCCGAAGTGAATGTTCAAAAACATAAAAACGTAAACAATAAACAAAGTTACAAATTTTTGGCCCTATATAATAACGATAAATAATAACAAAAGAAAGTTTATTATGTAAAATTATTCATTTATACACACCTTTATAATTGCTATATCATATTCAAGCTTTGATCTAGACGTCATCCATTTGTCATGTTTTGTTATATTTTTGATCTTTAAGGTAGAACCTTTATCGGCCCAACGAGAAGTTCCAGCAACAACATGGAAAGAGTCAGAATCTCTAATAAAATAAAGAACATTAGATTATTCTACAAGATACTAAAATAAGAGACACTTTAATCAAATTTTTATTTAACATAGACAAAAATTCAGCTCAAATAAGTTTTGTATAATTACCATTCTCTCTTCTGCCTCTTTGTTTTATATTTATTGTGTATTTGAATTTGAACAAAGTGTGATTAATTATTTATATACAACTACAACACTATCCTGTCTTAAAACTAGAATCTGACAATACGTTAAACTTCTTGAATATGACTATATCACGTAAAAAGGTTTTCTAGAGTACAATATTTGCAGAAAACCTACTCAAACAGATCATGGTATACATGAGACATCTGATTATCCAACCCAATACAAAATGGCTGCTTTCAACAGTTACAGTTTATAGGTTTCTCAAATTTACACTTTCTAATGCGAACTTTAATTTAGATCTTGGTACTTTTAAGCAAATTGCATTCACTAATGGTTCTGATCCTAACATCATCCATCAACTTTTAAATAGTATAGCTTACTTATTTAGTACAATGTTTGCTTCAACCCAATGCCACAAATTACATCTAGTTTTCTCCTTTTCTTATATCAGTAACATTTACAAAAAATATCAAAACTTTTGACTTCTACAATTAAGGACATCAAAATATCTTTCAAGTCACACAACACTTAAGGTTCAATTTTAGACAAAGACAGGATGACACTCTGGATAACAGTGGTACATATTTAAAAATTGAGATGTGATGATTGCGATGACTTTTATGTAAGTAGAATCATTCGAAAGTTGTCTACTGAATCACAGAGCATTCAAACAAACCAAACTCTCCATTTTTTGGTCACCATTTACATTTACTTATTTATAAACATAATTTAAATATCAATATTGGTTCATCTACTTTTTATGGCAGTAGTAGGAATAAAAACTACTTAGAGTTTGACTTATTAGAAGATTTGGCAACTACAAAAGAGGCAAATGAAAACTCTCACTGAATATACTTAAATTAATTTAATTTGTACTAAATTTAAACCCATGTTTTAAAATTTTATTGCAGCTTTACCTCGTAGGGGACCCAGCTCGACTGTTTAGATTTTCTAAATTGAGTATATCCATTAACAGTTTTCAATCATCAACAACTTGCTAAATAAGCTTATTCATGAGCATTTGATCTACAGTTGGCGTCAATCACACTCTTAAATCTTTTCGGTATATAGATATACCATGTCCACAATTTTTATATATGATGTATATTTTATTAGGTCACACTTTTGGTCAGTTGGTTTTGAGTAATGCCCTGACATTTTTAATTTTATAATTTCCAAATTGACTGTAAGTTGGACTTACAGTCCAACTGGTGGTAGAATACTTCAGTTTGCACACCTTGTTTTTAACTTTGATTTTTAATTTTTAGTATTTCAATTTCATATTTTAATTTCTCCTTTTCTCCATAGAAGAATCTCACAATTCAGATTTGACATTAGTTTTATTAACTTTAATCCAAGCACTAACCCTAGTGCAGAGCAAACAAGTGAAGACCAAGATAAACCAAAAAATAGAACTTCCACAACCGAAATAGACCCCTGCACCATCTCAATACTTTAGCGATGATACCAAAAATCCTTAAGAATTCATAAACAAAATTACAGACCACATAAGCAACATGAATATCGACATAAAATATTGGATAGCCTAGATCTTAAAGAAATCAATAATGGGAGAGGCAGGCCAATGGGCACAGAGTCAATACACGACTGGTCTGAACTACGACACGTTCCGGAACAGGCTGATCAATCACTTTGATCACTTTGATCGAACACAATAAAAAGGTCGTCACTAATGTCTAAGCTATACGGACATTATCAGAAATATCAGCAAATAGCAGAGTTTATTTCGACAGAGATGGCTCTCTTTCGGCGAGTACTACCCAATATTGACAAGACAAAAAGGTGTAGGGCCATTACCAATCTGATTCGTCCATACATCAAAAAACATTTTCGAAACAATATGCCGAGAACCGAAGAAGACCTGAGGCAAATTTGCGAAGAATTGCAAGCTGACGAAAACATGTCACGGCGTTCAAATCGACAACCTGATTTACCAAAAGCCACAAAAAATCCAAACAAGAACCAAGCCAGGGAACAATTTACATAGAGGCAACCAAGAACTTCTGAGACTATAGATGATTGGAGAAATATAAATCCAACTCAGAAACCGACTGCAAAACCCCATCAATAACCTAACCTAACACTAAGCATCTCTCCAGATGCGGTGCCCTAACTAAATCCAATCAATGCCAAAATGGTCTCAAATTTTCTACGCATCGATGCGAACATCAATTCAAAAAACGTTCAGGTCCTCATCGATACCGGTGCATCGATGAATTATATTAACCCTGACTTGGTTTAATCGGCATATGCACACAAAAGGCGTGGAATGGTCCAGTTGACTTGCAAACACACCACTACCCATAGTCAGGCTACCGCCGAAGTCACCATCAATTGATTATGGAAGATTCCAGTTCACAACAAGATGTTCTATCGTTAAAAGTCTAAACCAAAATCTAATTCTGGGTATGCCATGGCTCCAAAAACAAGAGGTGCTAATAGACATAAACCGAAAATGTCTACACGTTGGAAAAAAATCACGAAAAGTCCTCTAGTAAAAGTCGAATTCAGCCAAACAATGCAACTCAAAGATTCAACTTCAAGATGATCAAGCTCCACCATTTGCAGTCCTAACCTTAAAGGATCTCCTGCGGGAGTACGACGACGTCTTCGACGACAAACTTAAGCCACCCACTACCCGACATACAGTAATGGAAGTCAAGCCAACAGACACACGGCCGATTAATACGAAGCCATTAAAATGTTCTCTAGCCAAGAAAAAAATCATGTTTGTTGAAATCCAGGAGATGCTTGCAGCAGATGTCATCCGACTAATTCGATCACCCTATAACAGTCTAGTGGTGATCGTTAAGAAAGAGGATGGCACACCTCGATTTTGTGTTGATAATACTGCCAATCCATGATGCAATTAAAGATCTATGAACGGCGAGAACATTTTCGACATTGGACTTAAAGAGTGGTTTTTGGAAAATACCCCTACACAAAGATCCGATCCCGTTGACAGCATTTAGTCTACCTGACGGATCAGCTTGTGAGTTCGTAGGTAAGCCATTTTGACTCAGGAATGAACCTGAAAGCAGGTTCGCGGCCCTCCAAAAATTGGTTACATCAGTCTTCGCTGGTTTCATAGATGAATTTGTGAAGGTCTATATGGACGAAATCATTATCTATTTCAACTTCTGGGACGACCATCCCAAACATCTCCACCTCGTCCTAGAAGGACTCAGAACTTATGGACTCTGGATGTCGTTAAAAAAATGTCGGTTTGCTAGCAACACATTGCCATAAATTACCCGACACAGATATTCAACCCTTGAAAAATCATTGTGAGGAAATAAACAGCCTTATCTGAAGATCTTCATCTAGAGGGACTTCACATAAATAAGCTATTTAGCCTGCAGACTAATGCCTCCGACTAAGGTATGGGAGCCCTCCTATTTTAAGGCTCTGCCGAAGACCGGAAGATAATTGTCTATGTTTTCACCAAACTTTGACCAGTCGAAAGAAAATACCACATTAACGAAAAAAAGAGTACTCTTTAGTCATATAGGCACTCAAGAAGTTTCGTCACTTCCTCCAGGAGAAAAAAATCACTGTTCTTACCGACAGTACAGCGCTGCTATGGTTGGATAAATATCAAGTCGTTAAGCCAAACTGTCCTGATGGTCACTGCTACTACAAGAATTTAATTTTGAGGTAGTTCACATACCAGGAAAAGAAAATCAACTTTCTAACCACTTCTACAGAAACCCAGCAGAACATTACCAAACTACAGAAGAAGATGAAGACAGTCAAATTGACCGCATCTTCTGACCAACCTAGTCTCAGGTATATGCCGAACCTGAGGACTGTTCGCTACTTTGTCTCCTAGTCGACGGTGCAGAACATAATCCTTGACGATATAAGAGATATGTCTCTGCAAGCTCGAACTGGACGAAATCACTAAGTCCACACTGGCATGCAGAGATTCATTTAACGATTTCAACGAATAACCGCCAGAGACCCGAGAGAAAAGCTCAAGCAATGCCTGATAGACGAATTCGCGATAGAAAACAACATAGCCTACTACACAGCCGGTCAAGATACTCGAAAAATCTTTGTACCTAAATCCTTCAGGTCTGAAGTCGTCGAATGTTACCATGACAATTAGGAAGCCAACCACCCTAGCCAAGAGAAGACTACAGGGGCCAACAAAGAGATCTATTACTGGCCAACCATTTCCAAAGATGTGACGAAATATGTGAGATCATGCCTGACCTGTGCTACCACGAAAGCCGCAGCCAGACAGCCAAAACTACCCAGCATCCCCAGAGAACCAATCCATCCCTGGGAAAGAATATCTTTTGATATTCTTGGACCGTATCTAGCAGCAAGAGGCACCAAAAGCCGAGATGTCATTTACTTGCTGCAGGAAGAAATCTGCAACCGATGGGGTAGACCGTCCACCATCATCACAGATAATGGGCGTCAATTCTGGACGGATGCTTGGGAACGATTTCTCAGAAAACACAACATTCAGAGCAAACGAAGCCCAATCTACCACCAACGAGAAAATCCAATAGAAAGACGAGTCCAGGAGCTGAAAAAAGATCTCCGAACACGTTTCAGACCCTGAGGACCCAAGATGGGAATCCTACCTAGCTGATATTATTTTCAGCCTTCGTACCCGCCAAACTTCGTACAGGCTCCGGCGGAACTTTTACTGGGTTACCGACCAAGAAGATCTCAGGAAACTGAGCACCAGGTCAGACGAGAAGAGACACGCCAACACAGAGTCGAACGAGCCGTTGAACGAGCCACTCTCTACGCCAGAAATCTCTTTCCAGAAAAGACAATTTAATATTGAGAGTTTATGTTCTGAGTATTTCCTACAAACAATATTGG